CACGGTTCGCTTGCCTGGCTTGAGCAGCGCAAGGGCCGCCTCGACTTCCTCTTCCGAGCACGGCTGCTCTGGCCCCGCCTGGCCGGAGCTCGCGCCAGCGCGACGGATGGCAGCGACCTGGCTTGACATGCGCGCGCGTTCGGCTGGGCCCTGCGGGAAGTCATTCTCGGCGCGCGAGCAAAGGTCCCTACGGATGGCGTCGAGCATCTCAACTGTCGAGAGAGCCGCGCCAGAAGACTCGTCCACTAGCTGTATGTCGAGCCGGGCTGAGGACTTGAAAACGCCCGTGAGGAAGCGCTCTGCCGCGCCTGCGTTCGTGTCCCTAAGGGATAAATACCGGTGGACCGCTTTGCGCCGCTCCTGCCACGCAGCAGTCTCCACGGCGGACTTGTGCGCCTCGTGCGTCGGGAAAGACGCGGGGCTCAAAGGGGCTCGTGAAGGCGCGCGCCCCTCGCGAGCACCAGCGCGGCTCACCTTCGTGGCCCCGGCAGCGTTACCTACTAAGACGTAAGTGGCGTCCCTTGCCCAAGCCGCGTTGTTGAGCGCAGCTCGGCGCTGCAGACGAGTGGCGTTGCCCCCAAACCAGGGCGGCCTAAGCCGCGTGCTTCTGGCGGCCTGCTCCACGGCGTCCGCTAGCACGCCCAGCAGGTCCGAAATACTTTCGAGCGCGGACGCCCACTCGTCCCCAGACGTCCAGGACACTTGCCCAAAGCCCGCAGACCACGAAAGGGCCGGGGAGAAGGGAACGTCGACCTGGACAAGCTTGTGGTCCGATAGGCCCACGAACTCATCAAGGACAGACACAGGAAGGTAAGCTTCGGCAGGCCCCAAGAACAGATCAATCGTCGTGCCAGAAACGCGAGTAGGCAAAGGGGGGTTGTAAGCGCGGAGCCCTGCGTCATCGAGCCACGCCTGGATCTCGCGATCTGGGGCTCTCCGTCGACAATGGGGGCAGAGGCGCCCAACGGCGTGGGAAGCGCAGCGCGACAAGTGGAGGTTCGCATCACCCCCGATAAGCAGGCGAGCAGCAGGAAAGCGACGTCGCAACAGCCGCACGTGGGCAACGATGGACGCCCAAGTGTGCCGGTCCCCGCCGTGGACAGGGCACATTGCGCACAGGGCGGCGCTAGGGGCGGTCTCATCGCCTGCGCCCCGCAGCTCAAACCACAGCTCGCGAGTGCTGGAGATTTCGGGGAGTGGCCGGAAAGCATGCTCCAGTTCAGGCAGTGGCCCTCGAGCAGTTGCCCAAGGGACGCCTGTAGTCTCCACCTTGTCAGCCAACACCTGCCATGCCTGTCTCAACTCACTCAGGGCAACTCGGCCGTTCCAAAGAAAAGCGTGATATCGGCATAACAGATGGGTGGTCGCGTCGAATATCGGATCGTACCGCGCTTGCCATTGGCAGTACATATGGGCAGTCTTGTGCGCCTGGGGCGGCGCGCCGACCAACGTCGCAGCCGTGCTTCGACGACGTCGTAACACATCATCAGCAAGGCCCATCACGCCAGCCCCATGCGCAACAGCAGGCCCAGCACCTGCGCGCCAGAGTGCGGAGGCACGACGTCCAGCCACATGCCGAAACATAGCCAGCGGACGCCGGCGCTGCTGCAGGGACTTCACGCGAGCTTTCTCCTGCCGGCGGAGGGGCCGAGTACCCGGAGCTTCGTGACCAAGATTGCGCATCCAACGACGAAGTGGGGCGCAGCTCTTGTTGCCCTTGTTGCGGCCGTAGCAGGCGCGCAGCCCGACTTCTTGTAGTTGAGCTTGGAGCCCAGGGCGCGCGAGTCAGCAGCGAAGCCGCGCACCGCAACATCCAGCGCATGAGCTCCACGCGGGTCGGCTCCAGTGCACTGCGCCGAGACGTCGTCCACCAAGGCGCGAGGGGCCAGCCCCTGATGCACGTCGCGAACTCGACATATGACCCTCAGCGTCAGCACCTCCAGCATGCAGACGGCATGGGTGCAGCCAGCCAGGATGCCCTGGAACGAAGCGAAGGCATCGCTGATGCTGCCGTAGCCCTTGAGGCGACGGGGCAGCGCATACATCTGCAGCAGCATCCATATGAGCCTGGGCGGATATCCGAGCTCGACGCCTTCCTTGAAGAGCTGGGGCGGCCTGACCAGGTCAAAGGCCTTGGTCAAGTCCAGCAGCGCCGAGGCCGAGAACTGGCCACGAAGGGCCGCCAGCTCCGATGCCAAGTTGTGGGAGAAGGCGCTGTCGGACGAAGTGTAGCGCGACCTGTTGCCCCACGCGTGCTCGCACTGGTGGTCGGCCTCCCACTGGCGGGACAGCCCTCGCCGTAATCGCCCCCGCGCGCGCAAGAAGGTGTTGACCACCGCAATCAATCTATGGCCATCGTCCGCCTTAGGGATGCGGCACATCATGGACCATAGTCGTTCAGCCGGCCAGGTGAGCAGCTGCTCGCACCTCTGGAAGTAAGCGATCAGCTGCTGCAGGGCCTCATCGGACAAGTGCCAAAGAAGCCTCGGGTGGAGCCCAA